TACGAGTTTTTGTGGGGATTAGTACACAGGAAGTTCTTAGAGCAATGATAGCACATAGTTAATGCTGAACAAGTATTATTAGCTATTATTGTTTTCTAGGTCTTTAAATATTAAAATATTCTTTTGCCACTTTGGGCAAAATGAGATAGGCAGCCACACTTCATGGGGGAACTATCTTTGTCAGATGTGACTGGGGGTGTGAGCTTGAAGGGAGGTTGGAAACTGTTGAGTGAGAACTGTGTTCCTGCAGGAGATGGCACTTGCCACAGCAGGAAGTTACAGGTCCAGATGGGATTATTTTTAGTGGATTCTGCACTCAAATTCCCTGAGACAACTAAGGAAGTGTTACTCTGTGCACAGAAAACTAAGAGAATTCTGCTCGGACCTTGGTCATAGGAGTGTAACGCAATCAAGTCTGAAGCCAGGCAAAATGAGGACTGTTGCTAGTATCTTAGAAAGCCCTCTCCTCCTACCTTCCCATCATCTCCCTGCTGTTTTTCTCTTACCCTCTGCGAACACAGTGAGATATTTTGTTGTAAGAGTTGGATGTTGTTGAGATGGGATAAGGGTGTTTGGTAATTTTATCAAACTACACAGCTGTAAAAAGTTACTTTTCACCTCTGTGTTCCAGTGCCCTTGTGTCCCACCATTTCAGTCATTTTATTGTTGCTCTCTCACTACTGCCAAGAAAGCAAAGATGAGCTTGACATCACTTATTTTATACTTTAGAATGATTTTGTTTTGCTGAATTTTGAGACACTTGGAAGTCAAATATTTTAGAGCTACAAAAATAATTGTGGCTAGGTGTGTGCACTATTACTGTGCTCTTTCTAAGGCCTCGTTGGGCTTCATTGGGTTTACTTGGAGAGTCTAATTGGGAGACGTGAAGGGGGAAACGTCAACATTCTTCTCTTGGAAATTCAAAAGGCAGGGCACAGGTATGAGGCACTACAATTTGAAAGAAGACGCTACGGTGCAGAGCTTTACTTTTTCTTTGTCCAGAGTAAGAAAAAGACCACTTGAAAACATAAGTGGAATGAATGGATTTGGGAGAAAAAAGTAAAGTATGGGATGTAGTTTGCTCTGGGTTTATGTTCTTCCCTTGGCCAAACTGTTTGAGGAACGGTGGGCGGGTGTGTGCCAAACCCTCCTGAAGTATGGGTTAGTTCAAAGATAAGAGGACATGCGCTTCCTCTTTCTGGTGCCACCAAGATGGCTGCGGGCCTCGTGAAGGGGGCTGTTCAGTGCTGCGGAGTGGAAAGTGTGGTTTCACGTGTCTTGGCACCCGTGGCGGGCAAACTCAGCCTTTGGAGTTTCTCTCAGCCTGAAAGTGGGGTGAGAGGACCTCTGAAACTACAAACTATTGTTCTTCCCGTCTTTGCTTCTTGTCTGTCTTCCTCTTCACATTCTGATCTAGTTACTTTTCTAGCTTTATTTTGAAGAAGATGTAAGTTTCAGTGTGTTGCTCCTGCCTTCTCCCTCAGGACGTGGGCCAATTTTGGACTCTGAATCTCAGCTCTCTCTTCCTTCCCCCCTCCCCCTTTCTTCCTTTCTTCCCTTCTCTCTCTCCCTCCCTCTCTTTCTCTCTCTCTCTCTGCTTCTTTCTTGCTTCTCCCCACACCTTCTTCTTTTTTCATACCAGGGATTGAACTAGGGACTTTGTGTTTCTGAAACAGGCGACAGAACCACTGAGCTATATATCCCAGACTCTTTGTTTATTTCTTGATACTTTCCCAGAGCTATTTCCAGAACCCAAACCATTCCCTGAACCAGAGTTACCTCTTCAAAGTACCCTGAAATTCCTTTATCATCTTCCTTAGTTATTTCACTCTATGCCAACTTGATTTTCCAAGAGTGAATTTTTGTTTGTTTGTTTTGAGACAGAATCTCAGTTTGTAGCCTAGGCTGATCGTGAACTCACAGTGACTCAGCCTTCTGACTCAGCCTTCCAAGTTTTTGAGCCACCAGCCTGGCTCAAGAGTGAATATTTGTATGGATTGTTTGGCCTTTGGTTTTGTGATAATGTCTTTCAGCATTCCCTCTTCTTTGGTGCAGTTGGCAATTTTATTTCCAGTGTAATAGGGCCTTGCTTATTCTTCTTCCTCCTCCTCCCTCCTCTTTCTCCCCTCCCCTTCTGTACTTCCTCCTCATCCCATCCTCTCCTTCTTCTTCAGTGTGTGTGTGTGTGTGTGTGTGTGTGTGTGTGTGTGTGCATGTGTGCATGCATGCACATATTGGTAAAAATCTTCCATTCCTTTCTTTCATTTTTTATTTTTTGGTACTGAGGATCAAACTTGGGACCTTGTGCTCGCGAGGCAAGTGATGGAACCACTGAGCTAAATCCCCGGACCTTTATTTTCCTTTCTGATTGCACACATGATTTTAGGTCAGTGAATGGCAAAGTTAGAGTTTCTATAAGATTTTTTTTTTTTTTTGAGATAGGGTCTCACTGTGTAGTTGAGACTGACCTGGAACTCACTATGTAGCCCAGGCTGGTCTCAAACTCACAGCGATCCTCCTGCCTCAGCCTCCCGAGTGCTGGGATTGCAGGCGTGTGCCATCATGCCCAGCTTCTATAAGATTTTTAATGTGACTATTTCCTCACTCTAACTGAAATCAGACTTTCCCGGAATCCTGGTACTTTTCAGCAGTTCCAAATGTGGGGTACTCATTCGTTCTCCCTCCACCGTGCTGGAACATGGAGATGGGCAGAGCATGCTTTTGCTCATCATTGTGACTTCTTTCAGCAGCTGCTTTTCCGCTGATGCACATGTACTCCACCCTCGTTCCATCCTCAGTTTTTCTTCCACTAATCTCTTTGCCCTATAATCATATTCAATGAGGACTCTGGCAACTATATCTTTCCCCTCTGGCTCGTCATCATTCTGGAGAACCTCAGCCTCCATGTTAGTGCCACACCTGCATCCTTTACATCTTTGCACCATCGATTTCCACTTCTGTCTGCCTGAGTAGCCCATTCAAATGGCTGCACCCTATACCTTGTCTTTTCTGTAACTGTTCCACCTTGGAAGCTGTGAACCCTGAAATTTCTCTTATTGACCACACAGCATAGCCTTGTTACTCTCCTATTCTTAAGCTCCCTCCAAGTCTTTCTTAAGAAATCTTTATTTTCATGTCAGATACTTTTTGCATATGTATGATCCAGAGTGGATGGAGGTAAACATTTTGCTATATTTGCTTTAAGTCTTATTAAAAAGGAATGAAACGTCACAGGTACATTTAAGACCTCTGTGCTTTTAGCCCTAAATTCCAATCTTTTCTTCTCCTCAGAAGCAAGTGCCACCATGAATTTTGAGTACGTATGTGATATATACCCGTGTTTCCCTGAAAATAAGACCTAACTAGAAAATAATCAGCCTTGAGAGCTGGAATTTGAAAGCCAGTCCCAGTCAGCCTGACGTGTCTTCCCTGTCCTCAGTATTCTCCTGCTCAGTCGTTCCTCTGTAAGGCAGATAGAGCAATGAGAGGCTGGTTGGTTCTGGTATTTTTGATTTCTAGTCTTGAAGGCTGATTATTTTCTGGTTAGGTCTTTTTTTGAGGAAATAGCATATGTGTGTGTGTGTGTGTGTGTGTGTGTGTGTGTGTGTGTAAAATGTATACTTTTTATTGCAAAATTTACAATGTACTAAGCAGAATTTGTAACTTGATTTTCACTCAATATTATGTTTTAAAAATTTATGTGTACATAATAGTTAATCCTTTCTGAGTGCTTCATAGAAGTCCAACATGAGTAAAATATATTCTTTTAATTTTGGTATTCATTATGACTAAGGATGTTGTATTAAACATCCTTGTAAGTGTCTTCCCACACAGAATAGGGTAGTGTAGTTCCACGGCTAAAGTAGGAGCATAGCTAGGCCGTGTCATCCTTCTGTGAATTAAAAAGACTTCCTTACTGCATGGAACTCATCCTCTGAGCACACAGGCTGGCAAGTGGAAGCTGCTTGGGGCAAAGATAAAAGTACAGTTGGCCTTGTGTATCTGTGGTTTGCACATCTATGGATTCAGCCAGCTGCAGACTGATCCAACCTCAGATCAAAAATAATTGGGAAAAATACATGTCTGTATGGAACGGACACAGATTTTTTTTGTTGTTCTATAATATAGTATAACAATTATTTACGTAGCATCTACATTGTATTAGGTATTATAAGTAATCTAGAGGCGACTTACGGTATATAGGAGGATATGCACAGATTATATTCAACATCTACACCATTTTACATAAAACACTGTAGTATCTGCAGCCTTGATAACCCATGGAGAGCCCTGTAACCAGTCTCTCAAAGATACTGAGGACTTGGCTGTGTTCAGGTGTTTTTTTTTTTTCTTTTGTTTTTTTTTTAATTTAAAGAAAAAATTTATTGAAGATCTGAAAAACAATTCCTAAAAGATTGACTTTTCCAGAAAACTGTAGCTACACAATGCATTGCGTCTATCATGTTAAAACGTGCATTAGAAACAAATACAAAAACCATGAAACAGTTCACCATTCTTCAACAATTTGAGCAAAGATAAAATGCCTAAGGAACAACAGGGATGACTTGCAAAGAAAAGGCTCTTTAAGCACTGTTAAAAAAAAAAAAAAAGAGAACAAATGGTTGAGTGTGTTCAGTTATATACACGAATTGGACCTTTGGCACTAGGAATCAGAGCATTTTGTCATATAGCATTAACATGTATTATAAACTGCGTAGTGTCAAAGGAGTAGAACCACGAGCATTCAAAAGCAGCTTTGTCAACTAAGCAATAAAACACTCTACACCGTATCTCTTTCTTGTCCATCATTGAATACACTGGCAGCAACTTTGAAATGAAAAGGAAAAAAAAATAAAGGAGCTGTAATCCCTTTTATTTTCTGTTTAAAATCAAAACATCAACTCTGTTATACACTAGCATCTTCAAAGTACATCATTTGTACAAGAGAAGGACTAGGAACGAAAACGTGTTGACAGATATCAGACACGGGTGAGAATGCCTCACACTGCTTTCAGATGGGACTCAGGCGGGTCCACTTCGTAATAACTGGCGCTAAACAAACTTGCTGAATTCTTCGCTAGATACTTGAGGAAACCATGAAGATAATTCAGTAATAAAGCAAGGCTCTTCTCATCCAGAGGTATATAGGCCAACATTGCTCCAATTCGTACAAATAATCTCAGTAGATCTGGTGCTCCATACACCTGGGACATGGGGGCATCAGGGTGATCAGCAAGAATCTCAGCATACTGTGGTCTCTCAAATTTGTAGAGGAGCTGAGTGCCCAGCATCACATTGAAGTATTCTTTTATCCCTGCTGCAACCTCATTAACAGCATACTCCTTATTATCTGTGTTTCCTTGAGATTTCTTAAAATTTTCATAGTCCTCTAGAATGGAATCCACATTCTTCTTGGCAGGAAGGTAAAAGAGCTGTTTCTGTCTGGTAATTAAGTCCCAGTCATCAACAAGCCACGGTTTTAGCTCTTCAGGGATCTTTACTTTAACTTCAACTTTGTTCATAAATGTTTCTTCATTTTCAACAGTAGGATCTACCAGGGCCCTCTTCTTCCGAGGAAGGGTGTCTCAAGTACTGCCACCATCTCCATTACCAGGGTTTTTTTGTTTGTTCTTTTTTGTCTTCACTTCAACATTTTTCTGTTGCAGACCAGATGTCTTCTTTCCTGGAGCAGCCCCTCTCATCTTTCCTTCTGCATATTGCTCCTGATTGGCTTTTTGAAGTTCTCGCTGTTTCTGTAGATTGGTGTCCACATATTTGTGTACTCTGCTTTCTGGAACCCATTCGTCCCAATTTTTATTCCAACCACTGTAATGTATAAAGTATTTTACTTGTTTGTCCTTTATGGCAACCTTTACACACTTTGCTTCATAAAGAAGAGGCCCGTGAAGGGCTGGGGATTTAGCTCAGCGGTTCGGTGGCCAAGCGCAAGGACCCGAGTTCAATCCCTGGTACCAAAAGAGGCCCGTGAAAGCACAGTACTCGTTCACCTTCCTGAAACTTGGGCTTCAGGTCCTGCTTGGGCGCCATTTGTAAGTGATTCGCCGCCTCCTTCTCCCACCACCCCCGACTATCGCCCCCTACTCTCTACCCCACCCGAGCTCGCGTCAGATGTGCCGTCAGGCACAGCCGCTGTACATCCTAGGCCCAATTTTCCAGGTGGCTTTAGACTTCAGCTGGGGATGTTGAACGAGCATTGTCAAATGGGTTGACTTCATGTGCCAGCTGGCTCCTTCTGAGCACCTCTGGGCAATGGAAAAATTGCATAGCTTTGTGTGATACCCTGGAGTCACACTGCTTGGTTTCAAATTCTAGTTGTATAACTAAGCAAATTACTTAGCCTCTGGGTCTCATTCTCCTCATCAGTAAAATGGGGATACGGAATGATCTAACTCCTAGGTTAAATGAAGATTTTATATATACTGTAGCAGTATATAAATATTGGAGGTTACCATAAATATTATCATGTACAAATTTGAGAACTGATGGTAGGATATGCACTTTTTAAATAATCTCATTCTTTACCTTGTCTCTGTGGTTTCTGTCAGCCCAGTCCCCCATCTAATGTCTGCACTGGATTTCATCAACATACTTTGGAAACTGGGTAGTGACATAGTCATATAGTGATTGTTATCAGCAATGGATTAAGCATGACAAGGGAGAGCAAGCCAAGTTACCCAGATCATTCCCCAAAATGGGCAGAAGAAAATAATTAATTAAGAATGCAGTGAGAATGGCCTCCTGCCAGGCATGGTGACTATTGAGACAGGCCTTTAATCTCCTTTTGCTTCCCACTCTACCTCCCTTGGTAATGTCATGGATAATGTTCCCCTCACTTCCTCTCCACCCAGCATGTCCTTCCTCCCCACCACCTCTGTGCACACCCACAGACTCTGCTCCCCTACCATTTTCCCAGAAATTTCTTTCCTTTGATGATGCTGTTTTCATTTTCTCCACAGAGCCCAGCTGTCCCTGGGGGAGCCTAGTTGTTATTGATTAAGTTAGTGTGGCTCGTGAACCTGACTGAGAATGAATTTTGTAGTTCATCAAAGCTTGTGTTCAAATCTGAACTGCATCATAAGTGAGCTATAGTAACTTTCAAAAACTTCCGTTTGTGCTCTGAGAAATCTGAAGATCACTGTCTCACAGACTTATTGTGAAAGTAAGAAAGGATTAAGTAACCAGACATTGATCTACAGCTACTAGTGTACTTCATATTATTTTCTTTTACCTGAAAAGTTGCAGCTACTTGTTCCTCTTTTCTACAATAATGTAGTGTAAAGTTTTGCATAACAGAAATTTGGTTATAAAATTCCCCTTTCCACAGACATATGGCCTAGGAGAGGTTCTGTAAGAGTTTTTCTGTGTTCCCCTGGTACCTGTTATCCTCTGTAGCAGAGATGGCGAACCTTTTAGAGTGTTCAATGATAACAAACAGCCCTCTATCGCACACGTGCCATAGGGTCCCACTCCTGAGCTCTAGGAACTATTGAGTGTCCTTGGACCCTTTTTTCCTTGCATCTGTCCTGCCACCCCTAACCCTAGGATTAACCTAATTCCATTTTTCTTTTTTGGCTGTTATTTGTGGTCCATGGGGTTCTGGCCGGTTGGATTTATGACATTCACCCTTAGCAAACCTCTGAATACTGCCTGGCTGTCTCTTCTCATTCTTTCCTAAGACTCCCTCAGCAGGGTTCTCAAAATTTCTTACAAGCCTCTGGCTTCATTCCTTCCCCATCTTCTTAGTGGATCTCTATCTCCTTTGTTAAGACGGAGTGAGTGAAGTAGAAGTCCAATCTTGGGAGGAACGTATGGCATGGTAAACATTTTAAGGGGGAAAAGCCCTATTACGTATGTTATCAAGGTGACGATCTGTTCTTTTGTGGATGGCACAGCAGCTTCCCCAGATAATTATTGTACTTGTAGGTGTCAGTATTGCCAACTCAGTGATAAAGTTGTTTACCTTAGGGTGTTACCAATTTATAGGAAAGAGCTCCAGGTTTTGTTGATTTTAGAAGACATCTTTTATCTCCAGAGTGTAAAGCTTTGATTTTTTTCCTTTTCTCTAAAATGGTGGGACTGGATGTGCTTGCTTAGTAGTCTAATGGTAGTTGGGGGGGAATCAATTTAACGTTCTCCACAGAGGCTGACAGATAGGAATTCTCCCAACTTCCATTCTTAAAGGAATCCATTAGGTCACAAACCACAAAAATTCAGGTTCCTACCATCCCTTTACAAGATACATATTGTGATTTTGTGGGGTGGGATGGAGTCTCAGAATTTGCTTACGTAATTATTTCGGATGATTCTGATGCAACTCATCCCAGGGATGAATGTTGTTTAGAAACAAGTGCTACCAAGCCATAGCAGTAGTTACGTCTTCACTTATTTTTATCACCCTTTTGTCTCAAGAATATGAAGTATGTATCTTACTCCTTTTCAAGGCTGGTTTCTTTATATGTCCTATTGATTCCATTTGTCTTAGTTTCTTGCAGGTCTTTGAGCTGCCAATGGTTCCCTTCACTGATATTGGCAGTCTCTTCTACCATGTTCTTTTTTTTGGCTTATAAGTATTATTCACTTATTAACTGAATTTTTATTGATTGCTTCCTATGTTTCCAGCATGTGACTTAATTTTGTTTTTTGGTAAGACTTCATCTTTCTTTTTTAACAATAAAATTATTAGTACATGTTTTCAGTGTGTAATGTTTACATTCCTTGTGTGGAGTTGGCAAAACATACAACACATCTTAATCCCTTCTTCCATTCCCTCCCCTCCCTTCCTCCTCTTTCCATCTCTTGATACCTTCCCATTTGAGAAAGTTATATCTCCCTATTTTCTGTTACCTATTTTTTATTTTGCTCTTTATTTATAATTTGGGTTTTTCATATAAGAGAAACCATGTGATATTTTAGCTTGTGTGTGATTTATTTCACCAAACGTTATGATCTCTAGGTGCATCCATTTTTTTTACAAATGACTCAAGGTTATCGTGATGGTAGAGTAGTACTCCACTCTGTGTAAATATAACATTTTCATTATCCATTCATTTTTTTGATGGACATATAGGCTACTCCCAAAGTTTAGCTGTAATGAGTCATGCTGCTAAAAGCATGGGTATGCATGTATCATTGTACTATGATGTCTTTAATTCTTTCAGGAAGTTATTTAGAAGGGGAATAGCTGAGTCAAATGAAATTTCTAGTTTTAGTATTTTGAGGAATCTCTATACTGATTTCCATAGTGGTTGAACTAGTTTACATTTCTACCAACAATGTGGAAGGGTTCTTTTTTCCCCTGAAGGCTGTCCAGCATTTGTTATTATTTGATTTCTTGATGATGGCCCTTTCTGGGGTACGATGGAATCTCTGTAAGGCTTTTTCTTTCTTCTTTGCCTATCCTGGTATTTCCTCTTTACTACTAAACTTCTTAAAGGCTTTTTATTTTCCTTATTGATTTGTAATAAAAACTACAGGGACCAAGAGTTGAAAGAACAGGGAGGGAGGAGAGGGATGGGGACAAAAAAATTAAGATGTACAAATACCGCCTCAGCATAACAAATGTAATCATTATGTATTACTAAAAGTAAAAAAAATTATGCCAAGAGGTAAGTAACAAAGATAGTCACTAACATTTGTTGTAACAAATGTGATTAGTGGGGATAATAAGTGCTTCATATATTATCTATGTACTAGATGGTCCACATATCAATTAAAAATACATAAGGATATGATTCTGGGCTTCTTATTCACTTATACTGATCTGTACTATCTATTCTTTGCCAATACACCTTGACTTTATTATAACTTTATAAAATTCATTTTATTGTCTTGCCCATTCTTATTGGAATTCTCTCTTTTTGACTCTGGAACACCACTCTTCCTGTTTCTCCTTCTACTTTGATTCATCTTTATCATTGTCTCTCACTGACTTTTCTTCTCTGCCTCCCTGACCTAATTCTGTTTAGCATACTTCATGGCCTGCCTCCAATTTTATTTTTCAGTCAAAAAATTTCTGATACTCTTCTTCCTACATGCTTTAGCCAGGGACATCTATGTTTTGGTCCCCAAGCACACTATTTCCTCAATATCTTTGCATGTGGAATTTTCTTCCCTTGCCTGTGAAGGCTAAGAATGTTGCAAATCATAAGGATGATTTGTCATGACTCAGAGTACTTGCTGATTGAAGATTTCAAAATCTGGAATGTTCTGACAAGAATTTGTAGATAAGGATGAGGCTAGGTAGGGACTGCTGCTCAGGGATCCTTCAAATATGAGTTTGAGCACCAAGAATGGAACAGTCTGAGACCTAGGAATGGGTTGGGACAGAAGACTGAAATAGGAAATTTTGGCTGCTATGGGAGTTAGATTAGGATCTTTTTTTCTTTCCCTTTTTCTCTCTCTCCCTCCCTCCCCCTCTGTCCTCTCCCTCCTTCCTTCTGTCTCTCCCTTTCTTTCTTTTTCTTCCTTCCTTTCTTCTTTCGCTCCCTTTCTTTCTTTCGAAACATCTTTTATTTGGGTAACATGTCCCCAAAAAAGTCAGTTAGTAAAATAGATTCTAGAGAATACACCCTAGGCACAGCCTTCCTTCCCCAACACTAACCTCATGGGTGGATATTTCCCTTCTCCTTTCCTCATTTTTGTGTAAAAAGGGTTTTGTTAGCTCTGTGTTTATCATCTAGGCATGGGAACCATGCCCATGGCCCTCTCCTATTCCTAGGGTGCAACAGTAGGTAGTCACCGGTCTTCCCTCAAACCAGGCCAACCAAGATTAATCCTATCTCCAAATATGGAACCAAAACAAAGAGCAAGTAGGTCCCCTCCACTCAGGTGTTGGGCAGGGCTCTGGATTGGAATCTTAAAAAAAAAAAAAAAAAAAAAAAGAGGACAGAACTGTGTGTTGTTTATTATTTTTCCGTGGTGAACTTCAAGTAAGGCTTTGCTTGAAAGGACTAGATCAGAAAGTGCCACCCTCTGGAATTAAAGGTAATGAGCATCATTAACTATAATGAGAGAAATAAAATGTGAAATGAGTTATCTTTATCAGTGAGCCATCCTTGAAAATTGTTCTTAGGTGTACTGCCAGTGAATGAGGGTGTTTCTCAAGTCTTCCTGAAGGACATTAAGTGTCTGCACTGGTGTC